GGCCCTGTTTGGTAAAAAAAAATTGGTCTATAGGCCAATTTTGACTTATTTGATCACTATCAATTGTTTGATTTAGTTAAAATATCAATATAAATGTTTAGTTAATTAACTTTTTGCAACTCCAAAAGGCTAAAATTCAAAAATCTACTCTAAGCAACTTTTTCAATTAGCTTTTTAAGAAAATAAATTATATCAAACAGCTATCAGCTAAAGCTAATTTACCAAACATTTTTCTACAATCAGCTAATGTTATCAACTATTTATACCCTCTAATTAACACAATCAGCTAACAACCATTTTACCAAACAGGACTTGATATAATGCAATGTGGCACTTTACTTAATTTTGAATAGTTATCGTAAATATGAATTTTTGTGGTGCCTATCCAATTTAGAAAGTGAGATGAGTAAGTATTCAAGTCAAACTTGACATGTTCATATCCAAATAATCCAACTTGTTTAATTATATTGTTAAAGGAATATTTGAGCTATACTTTTCAACTGGATGATTCTCAAGTCTACCAAACCTATTTAAGAGTAAAAACCTTATCTGCACGCACAAACTTAACTCATTGATTTAGTAGATAGTATTTAAAAGAAGAGACTAATATTTGAATCTCAGCAGCGAAAATGTTGGGATTATGCCCAAAATTGACAGATTTCTTGTGCGCATCAGCATTTGATCTTGTCTGTTAAGCCATTGAGTCACTGTGATTTACATCTTTTCAAATGATCTGTCGGGCCAGGGTGTAGAGACCCTTGAGGTTAGGAATTTTCAATTTTTGGGAGAAATATAAACCTTATCTCTCAATCTAAAATTAAAATGTAATAAAGTTTATAATTAATGAAGTTATTGTAGAAACTAAAAATCGTGTTCGGTGTTTTATTTGCAGAAATATGAAGAGATAAATTACAAAACTAATTACAACTTAAATAATATTATAAAATAATTAAACAGCTGCGTTAGTTTCTCAGAATTGCATCCAAATAGCATGATCGTCATCCCATCCCCAACGCGTGAGTCAACCAATCCATACCATCTAGTGGAAGGAAGGAAGGTAGGCTAACATGCAAACCTTGCCACACTTCTTTAATTTCCTCGCATAATATAAGTACACCGCCCCAAAACTCCTTTAATTTGCAGCTCTCCATACCATTATTTTTCCACTCCACAAGTTCTTGCAATCACAGAGCTAATATAGACCTTTGTGATGGAGGCCGTGGCTTTGGTTGGCCACGTCGTGTAGTTTAGCCGGCTGTTTATGCTCCGATCAAGTTGCATTGGGGGCTGCCGGCTGGCCGTGGCAGCGATGCTGGACGCCACATGGTGGCACAGCTGGCTTACATTTTCTCTGGGCCTATCTCTTGCATCCGGTGCTTTGGTAAGTTTAATATCTGTTTAGTGCCCAAAAGTGCATATTGGATACTAAAGAAATCAGAAATAAATCAATATAGATTGCTTAGAGCTGACCAATTCAAATTAAACATACCAATATAAAAGTTTTAAACCAGCTCAGTTATATTGGTCTATACGTTAAAAATTTCCTAAATTAGTCAAACCAGGAGGGATGTCACCAATGGATTAGATGTCAACGCCGTCAGCCAAAGGACAACCTTAATCTTAACCTCGGAAATAGGAAAACATGGAGCTACTGGCGTGAGAAGGCCGCCGGTTTTCATGAAATGGAGGGTGGGGGATGTATTTGGAGTGGTGAAGCGCCACCCCATACCGTGCGCTTTCTTCGTCGCGGTGGAGTTTACCCTCCGCATGGGTTCTCCGCCACCACTCACCCCAACGTTAACCATCTTCTTGCTCCCCTCACGGTACAATCCCATACATCCTTCTTCTTTAAGTTGCACTTTTTTTTTAATACTCCATAATTTTAAAGAATATAATGTTTCTGTTTGAATTGAAGTTTATTGTAATTTTTGGATGCTTCTACATCTACCACTTAGGCTGCCCTTTTTTTAAAGTAAACTTATTTATTTAGAATTAAAAAAAATTAAAAAAACTGATGTAGTGTTTTAATTTGGTATTAATTGCGATATATGATTGCAGGATTTTTTGGCATCGGGCGTTGATTTTCCGGTAGGGAACACGTCGTTTTTCTTCTTCTTTTCCGGCCACGTTGCGGCATCTGTGATTGCTTCCCGAGATATGCAACGGGTGAAGAGATCAAGATTGGCCTTCACATTTCATGTTGCAAATTCTGAGGCGGCTAAGCACGAGGGGTCACTACACCATTGACTCGGCCGCCGGTTTTGCTGCGGGAATTCTCTTTGATTCTTCGGCCGGAAACTATGAAGAATATAAGAAAAACACAAGTCTCTAATTATATATTGATATGATGAGTGATTTTTAAGATAATAAGGAGAGCCATTTTTCTTGATCAGTTCCAACAAAGTCATATATGATATATATGATATGATTAGATATGATAATTGAGAAAGTATATATAGACAAATACTACAATGTAATATGGTTAATAGTACTAAAAAAATGATAATTTATTTTTAATATGTTTTCTCATCATAATTCATAATAAATTCCTTTTTTTAGTTTGTTTATTTTTTTTCCATTAATATTTCACTTTATATATATATTACTTGTATTGGTTTTAACGTAACTAATCCAACCATCCCAAATTCTCAACATAAATTACAAATCCTTAGCTTAAAATGATTAAAAGACGTATGTGTAAAACGATAAGGGAGAAATAAATAAACTTCTGATCACTTAGGGTGAACGAATTAAACTTTGATATATAATTAGAGAGTTTATTATATTTTCATGAGTTATGATTTTTTTTTTAAGTATTCTCTCCCTCGTCTCTTTAATTTCTGTTACTGGGTTTAATTACCTTGGAATCTAGGATTTTTTTTTTTTTTACTTTTTATTTTTTTTGGTGCGACCTTGGAATCTAGGATTATTTAAGACAGCTGACAACTTCCTACTGCAGGTCAACTTATGGGATTTATCCAACAACCGACCTTCATTTATTGCATCTAAAAACCAAAAGTTGTATGTAATTTTAATGTTGTAAAATTTTCATGTAATGTTTCTCTTCTCTAAACAACTACAACTTTTAACTGAGGTAGAATGAAGACTTTAATGCATGATCTACCTTGATTGTTAGGCGCCATAAGTGTGATATCAGTCAATAATTTAATTGTTTTACTTTTGGTATTAGCTAGGCCTAAGTGCCTAACTATCTTAGTAAAATTTAAACCTCTTAAATTCATACCTTATAATAAATATAATATAAAAAAAAGTTTTATACTGTCTGTGTCCAGTTGGTCATTCTTTTTAATAAATTTTATATGCGATGTGAAAACTTTGAGAAATTAATTAAGAAGTGTACATTCTTATATATCACATAAATAAACACTACTTGCATAGACTTTTAAACGTAACTCAAATCATTTTAAAAGAAAAATCAGATTCCTCTAACTGAGATTTCAATTATTGGTTGGACAAGAGGCTCTTTACTATTGGTATTCTACTAGGTACGTACGTACTCCTATAGCCCTATCAATTCCCCACATTACCTACTCCAAAGTTATTAACTTTTACTTCATGCTTTCAAATATCTTTTAATATTTTTTTATTAAAAGTAACCAAGTATATTATTGATCAATAAGATGATTAATACACTCATGAGAGATAAATTCTCAAACCCGAAGCAAAGAACAGCTATTAACAAATGCAGTAAGAACATGAGCAACTCGATTTGCAAACCAACGAATAAAATGAATGTGACAACAATTTAAAGAATTAAGTAAAATTGAACAACCCATAAACAAAATCAATATACGAACAAGACCTAGTACTCTTAGCCAAATAGCATGCATCGCCGTGGCCACTAACTCTGCGTGATCTATCGTCTCCAGACACGCCCAGCACATGAGATAACCAAATTATTCTCTGGAAGATTAACATGCAACCCGGCCTTGCCAATTAAATTCTCTTAGCATAAATACAACCACAACACACATGGAGCAGTGTTTGATATAAACATTTTTTTTCTTTGATTCGTATGATGAAAATGTCATACCCATACTTATCACGTCAAAAAAAGAATAAAGTAGAATTTGAGGGTGTGTTTGGTTCATGGATTTACACATTATAAATGAAATCAAAATCATAGTTAGTGTTTGGTTGATAACTTTTCAAAATACAACTATGATATTTGATTACTCCTTCAATTAAAAACACATCTCCTAATTAAAAAAAGGTACGGACGGTATCATTCAGTCTTATTGGTAATATATATGATATGATTTTTAAGTTTAGATTAATGCTTTTAAATTTTTTATTTTGATTTTTTTTTTATCATATTGATGCTTTGGATGTCATTATATTATAATTAATTTTTTAATTTTTTGTTTTTGTATTTTTGAAACATTTATTCTCATTATATAATCATACATAATCGGTCAAAGTACCTACGAGGTCCTTGTACTATAGCGTTTTGTTCAATTTAATCCCTATACCTTTTTTTTGTTCAATTGAATCCCTGTACTTTAAAAAGTGGTACAATTAAGGACAATAGTTAACGGTGGTAATATTACTGTTAACTTAGGCTACGTGGCGCTGGCGATATTTATATTCCTACTCATGTATTACTTTATAAACATTTAAAATTAAGTATTTTTACCACCAATATATTAAATTAGTATGCCCAAAATAAATAATTATAACCATGTTCCTAATGAAATTTGGACAATTGTCCTTAGCTTCACCACTTTTTAAAGTAGAGGGGCTAAATTGAACAGAATAAAAGTACAATGACTAAATTGAACAAAACACTATAGTACAGGGACTTCATAGATACTTTGACCTACATAACCAAATATCAATATTAATAATCCTTCCAATTCCACCATACTACTATACTTGTACTAAAACCCATACTATTACTAAGTATCATGTAAAAACCAAACACACCCTTAGAATCATTATATAATTTATATATAGTAAAAGTAGTCTCACTCCCTCCAACATTGGAAACTCCGTCACTTCAAAACACACTTATAAATTCATCAGCAAATCATTTTTCTTATTATTATTATGCCTCTATCCATTGTTTCCGTTAAGTTTAACGGCTGAGATGGACGTTGACGTCTCCAGTCTCCGCTCTCCTCCGTCCATCCTCATCAACCGGCATTCTAACGGCCCCAACGGATTAGACGTCAACGCCGTCAAACTCGTCGGCGAAAGGGATCTCGACCGGAAGAAGGAGAAGAGGGCAACCTCGGAGTTCGGAAAACATGGAGGCGCCGCCGGTATGAGAAGCCCGTTTTTCTTGAAGTGGAGGGTGGGGGATGTATTTGGTGTGGTGAGGCGCCACCCCATACCGTGCGCCTTCTCCGTCGCGCTCTTCTTCTTCATGCACGTCGAGTATACCCTCCGCATGACCCCGCCCGGTTCTCCGCCGTTAGATTTCGGCTTCGCCGTCACCGTTCCGCTGAATCGTTTGCTTGCTTCTCGCCCCGACATTAACAATCTTCTTGCTGCCCTCAATACGGTACTCCTTTCCATCTTCTCTGCACTACCTTTTCATCTTTCCTTCTTTACACTCTGTGAAGAGAATATGGCCGGAAAAATACATTTTTAGTCACTCAATGATTCATTCTTAAACAGGCGTTTGTGGCAATGCAATCATGGTACATATTATGGGCGTGGGTGATTGAGGGTCGTCCAAGAGCTACAATCTCAGCATTGTTCATGTTCACTTGCCGTGGAATTCTCGGATACCTTACTCAACTACCTTTGCCCGAGGTTAATTGGCTGTTCTTTTTTTTTTTTTTTTTTTTTTTTTTGCTGTTAAAATGTTGTTTCAGATGGAAACTGATGAGTGTAATTTGGTATTTGTTGTGATCTTAGGAATTCTTGGGATCCGGGGTTGATTTTCCGGTGGGGAACACGTCGTTTTTCTTGTTCTTTTCCGGCCACGTTGCTGCGTCGGTTATTGCTTCCCAAGATATGCAACGGGTGAAGAGATCAAAGTTGGCATTCACATTTCATGTACTCAACTTTTTGCAAATTGTGAGGCTGCTAAGCACAAGGGGTCACTACACCATTGACTTGGCCGCCGGTTATGCTGCCGGAATTCTCTTTGATTCTTTGGCCGGAAAATATGAAAACTACAAGAATAAACAAAGATAATTAAGTAACATTAGACTTTAATTAAGTCATGTTTTTATTTTTGAGTGGGATGAAACCGGCCTTATGATCCGGACTGGCAAAGGGTCACAAGGAGGTAAATCAACTTAAATTGTTTATAAATTACCAAGCTTAAATGAAGAAGGTCGAACTTGTAACTTTGTAATCTTGCTAGAGTTGTCGTCCCAATTAAATCATGTTTTAATTAGAGGTGTGGTTGATTTATACTGTAATGATTGAATGTTATGTGGTGGCGGTGCGGACCAATCTAATATCTTGGTTTACATTCAATATCTTTTTCTCAATATAAATTCTCTTTTTACATTAATTAATATTTGAATGTATTTAACTTGAATAAATACAAATTAGTTGTAACTTTTACTTTTATAACTTACATTAATAACTTAGTCTATGATTGATTAAGAGTTATGCACTTAAAGCAACAGTGAATTATAAAATATCACTGTTGTTGTATTAAATATGAAATTTTAATATATATGTGTGTATTTGTATTATATATTTACTACAAAACAAACTAAGTCAATTCATTCTACTTAAACACATTACCATTATTAAATATTTGATTCGCATTACCATTATGATTTCAATGTTAGAACCAAACACATTCTAAGTTATGTACTCAATAATTTCACGTTACTTAAACAAAACATTATATACCTCCCTATATTTCTGGTCTTTGTTATTATTTTACTTTTATAATAAACATACATAATTAATGTTAGCTTAGTAGTTTTGACACAATAATCTGGACGGCAGGAATGTGTTCGTCATATCCCACCAAATTAAAGGCACGAAGAATCATATGATGAAAAACGTGCCCTAAAATTTTGAACACTTATCGTGAAAGGAAAACCACTTGACCCAACCGGTAGCCCGGTAGGGTTGATAAAGTCTTTGTAAAAAGTGGCCACTATAAAGACTTCCACTCTCATCTGATTTTGTGTACAATATTTAAGAGTTAATTTCTTTTTGGAAGGTTACAAGTTCGAGCCTCGGTGGAGGCGTTATTGGTTCTTTGTGTTTCAGTAGGTTGAGAAAGTATATGAACAGATACTACAATGTAATAGGGCCAGTAACATTAAAAAAAAAAATTGATAGGTGATAATCTATTTTTAGGGTGGGTTTAAAAATCCAGAAGTCATTTTTTAAGTTTTCAGTATTTAGTTAGAGGGGAAAATAGAAATTAATGAAAAATATGGGCGTGGTCAATGAAAAATAGATGAGATTTTCTGAAAAATGACTTTTTCTTTTTTCGAGAGATCGAAGTCATTTTCCGTTGCAACAGTGGAGCAGCCAATTACTCACAGCCGCCATCACCATCCACCATCATTGTATATTTTAAATATTTAAAATTAAAAATAATTATGCTCATTTTTCAAAAAAAAAAATGAATCAAACACACCAAAATAATTTTCTGAAATGCAATCAAACACTGGAAGGAAAATGACTCATTTTCCAAAAGTCATTCTCATGCTTTTCAAATATACCCTTAATCAATTTTTTTATTAAAATATTTTCATTTGGTCCTAGTATTATTGTGGCATGACCATTTTTAGTCCTCCACCAACAAAATCATTGAAATGTCGTTAAATACAACAAAATTTCAACCATTTTTATACAAAGTAGATTGAACCGTTATATTTTTTATATTTATCTTTTTTTGAAAAAAAATCATAATTGAAAATCATAGTAGAGGTATAAGGGTATTACCTAACAATTAGGGACAAATAATTAACAATTACAAAAAAAAAAAAATAAAAAAAAATAGAGACAAAATCAACAATTATCAAAGAATTAGAAACAAACTATTATGTATTATGTTAAGAGTTGATGTATATTATGTTAAAAGTTTATGTTTATTATGTATTATGTTAGATTATGTGTATTATCTTTTAAAAAGAGTATGTATATTTTGTTATATAATTATGTACATTCATGTATACAATTATGTGTATTCTAGTATAACATTATGTACATTCTTGAACAGCGGGTTTTTTTTTTTAAGAAAAAACTACTGTAATTCACTGGGGCGGGAAATTTCAAAAAAAAATAAAATAAAACGACGTCGTTTTGCATCTGAGCGCATAGTGCAACGCGCGCCGTGGTGTAGGATATAAATTGCCGGTTTTCAAAATGTTAGATTTAATTCTTGGGTTTTCAAAGTGTCAACCCACCTTTCTAAGCCCAACCCATTCATTCTAACTTCTTTTGGGCCTACAGCCTACTAGGGTCCATATCAATAGTTATTTTGTGGAACTGTGTTCACCATGCGCATGATGAACACGGGATAAATTCATAATTTTTAAGTTGTAGATTCATAATTTTCATACTTTAGATTCATAACATCTATACTGTAGATTCATAATTTTTATACCGTAGAAATTATGAATCTACAGCATAGAAATTATGGATCTACCCATGTATTCACCATGCGCATGGAGAATACGTTTCCACAACATAATTTGCGGGTCCATACCCCATCAACAGTTGTTAATTATATTTGTCTTTTAAAAAATAAATAATATACACAACACTATTTAAAACTATCGCATTTTCTAATTTTGAAATTGAATATCATAATATTTGATTTGATCCAAGTACACATAAATAAACCCAATTTATTAGTTATTTCTGAGGTTCCTTTAGCTCACATTTATTTCCAATACAATAAGATTTTTTTTTCCTTTTTTTTTTCTTCCGGATACTTAGGGTGTGTTAGGTTCGCACATAGGAATCGGAATCGAAATGAGTATCAAATACTTGGTAATGGTAATGAGTTTTGGTGAAAATATTTAACATGTTTGGTAGTAGGGTAGAATGGGAATGATTACTAATAGTAGTGCTTGAGAATGAATAAGGGAATGAAACCCTTATTGTATTTGGGTATGAATTTTTCAATTGATGGGTATTCGAAACCCATAGTAGTGTTCTAAAAACCTATCAACCAAACAACAGCAATCACTTTCATACCCATTCCTATGAACAAAACCCACCAACCAAATACACCCTTAGTTTATTTATAGGTCTTATTTATCTATTAAACAACAAGGACTCCATGGCCCAATGGATAAGGCGCTGGTCTACGAAACCAGAGATTCTGGGTTCGATCCCCAGTGGAGTCGGTTCGCTTATTTTTGCTGCGAATTAATGCTTCAGCGCCGGCCTAGTGAGTAGTCAATTTTAAAGCCCACATCCGTTTTAAGTGTGGTCCATGGAAAGTGGAAACCCAATACAAATATCTACCAATTTTTATTTTATAAAAAAATGAATAAAATGTAAATTAAATGCACAAAATAATTAACACATTCAAAATATTCGATTTTTTTTTTTGAAATAGAAAATATTCTAATATAATTACTAAATTACTTAGCTTTTGAATGCAAATATCTGTGCACAAAATCTCTTTGCTCCTTACTTTGTGAGAAATTCTAGACAGTGTATATTAATTTTATAACTAAAGAAGTTAACGGTGACCAACATAACTGAACAAAATCAAAACATAATGCTTAAGGAAATCTTTTAAAAAAAAAATAGATATTGTTATTGGTTGGAGTAAAAAGATTACAAGTTATTTTTCAATATATTTATATAACTCAAATTATCAATTAAAAATACTCGAACTAAATAAGCAAAATAGATCCCTCAAATCTTGGCATTAATTACATTTTGATATTCAAAAATATAAGGAAAAAAATATTTTAAATTATAGGAAAAAATAATGATCTCCTAAAACTGATCTTGGACCTCTTAGCCATACTTTCCTTAATTGAGATAGTGTATCATCCTCTCGGATACTAATTAGCCTAAGTTGAATCTAACCACTTGGGATGAGGTTGAATGTTGGACCGCTCATTTCTAACACATCATCTATTCCTCAACTTTCTTATTGTTCATGAAGTTGATGACCCAAGAAGGTAATAAAAGAGAACCATTCACCGATCGCTTCTCCCATAGACTATAAAAGAATGCACTGCGCCTGTTATAAAATAAGAGGGAACTACATATAACAACAAGAGAAGATTGAGAGAGAATATGTTATAACCAACATATTTTTCAAGGAATTAATACAAATAATTTTTAATGTTATAATTAATTGCAAATAAAACTATGTTATTATAATTGGTTGCATACTTGCATTGAACTTATACATTGAGCTTTCTTTCTTTCTTGTACATTTACAAATAACTTTTGATTTTACCATTTTCTTCTTAATTTTGCTTACACCATTTCAATTCTAAGGATTTTTTATTATTATTTTTAACTTCATGATTTTTATAGTGTTAGTATATATAAATCTTATAGCTCAAATCTTGTGGTGGTTAAAACAAATTTAATATTTTTTTTCCTTTTATTTCTTTGAGTTTCAACAAAACGAAGTAATTTATTATTCAACTATATATAATTATATATTTGATAGTGTAATCGTTGAATGTTGGATATAATTGAGGTTGAAAAAGCCCGTGTATCTTAAAATCAATTTAACACTAAGGATTCTACTTGATTTTATGTTACGAGACAATTTCGTTGTTTAATTAAATCAATTTAATCAACGTATAAATAACGAAATTGAAAGCATAAATAAAGTAAAGACATAGTAGAATTGTTATGCAGTTCGGAGCTCCTTCTCCTACGTCTGCGGGGCAACCCAATCCACTATAGATGTTCACCACGGAGTATTACAAGAGGTAACTACAAATGGCTCACAGCCTTTACGACTACAACTCTTCTTAAACACCTAATCAGGACTGAACCGTGCATGCCATAGCCATCGTTGGTGTAGCACTTCAGCTGTCACAGGTACTGATTTGAAGTACAGAATTAAATCACAAATATAACATAATCAATATTAAAGCAGTAATATAGGAAGCTTGTATATGTAATCAGAATTTCAGAATTGTCAACTTCCTCTTTCGTTTTCCCTTCCTTATATACTGTACGTAATTTCCATTTCACCAAGCCTTGATTGTAGCTTTCATATGTGGCTTGAATTCTTCTCAACCACACATTCTTTAATTTGAGATCTTCAGACTTGCTCTTTGTCCAACTCATTAGAATGAAATCTCCACCGCACATTTTAGCTTGGTCCAATAACACTAATTACGACTCATACTAATTCGCATTACAAATTAATAAAATAAACTAATAAATTAGCCAATCAAATGTGTACTATTTTGTACACTTACAGAGGTTGGTTTCAATTATTTAAAATATTATACAAATACTTTGTTAGAATAAAATATGATAAATAGATATAAAATTTTAAACAAATTAACAATCTAATTACCAATTGTACGTGAAACTGTTATAGTTTTTTATTTATTATGATAATGTAATTATATAATCACTTTTTAACATTGAACATTTATTTAGTTGTGCAACACATTTTATTTAACTAGTTTATAGATAAATGTTGATGCAATTAATTGACTCAGGTGGTCCAAATTAAATTATTAAGACAAATAGCTTGTAGTGAGATTCTTCGGATTGATGTTTGTGTATCACATGTTGTGTAATGAATAGAACATAATGATCTTTGATGTGCAATACAAAGTTTGTAGCAATATAAGTATATAACATGATCTTGTGGTCTAGTGACATCAAATTGCTCTCCCATATGGGAGGTTATGGTTTGAACCTTAAGCGATGTTAACTCTTTGCGCTGGGAGGTTGTGGATTCGAGCCTCAGACTATATTAATTTTTTGCGCTTCAGTAGATTGAGAAAGTAGTTGTAGACAAATATTGCATTTTAACATGGTCACAAGGTCTTAGAGACGAGGCAAGCCTTAAGACAGAGCTAGGAGGCAGACTCAGGGGCGGCTAGTGATTACCTGTCTGAGGCCAACCCTGAAGGTCCCTTGAGCCTTGTTTGGGCCTTGCTTTTGGTTCTCCATGCAACCGGTTCAGTCGTTGCTTTCGGTTCTCCATGCCACCGGTTCAGTCCTTCGTAGTTTGTATCCGGCCTGAGCGATTCCTGTTTTTGGACATTTACTTCGTGAGCCACACAGGCTTTGGGCTATTCTTTTTGGATCAAACTTATATATCCATCAAATGTAAATATGGTAAATACTACTCTTATTTTTAAATTTTACTCTCAAACTTTTAGTTTATACCATAAAATTTTGAAGTTAATATATATTTATTGAAACTTACATTATAAAATAACTAATCATCAATTGTCACATGAAATAAAAGTAGAGGAGTTGAAATATGGAGTACATAGAACTCATGTAAATAATTGCACGTTGGTAGTCGTATTCAGCGACGCAGCATGGAGGGCCACACTCTGTCGACGCTCATCTTCAATGCACAAAAAGTCATGGGCAGATAGATACATTAAGAAAGAAAGGCTCCATAGCTCTCTAAGCTTCAATTCTCCAACACAAAATATCTCAAGTTTTACATAAAGAAATGAACAACGGATTCGTATACAAACAAGAGGTCCATCTTACTGTCCTCAAAACTTCTGTCTTCTTCGCCGGTGATGGATTCGCCGCCTACAGCTCCGACGGCCAGCTCCTTCTCCGAGCCGACTCCTATGGCCCCGACAAACGCCACCAGGGCGAACTCGTTCTCACGGACGCCGCCGGAAAATGCCTCCTCACCCTCCGCCGAAAGGTTTTGCAAAGTTTAGGAGAAAATTGCATACTATGTGTTTGCAGAATTGCATCACTTAAATATTAATTAATCCGAACAACAGTCAATAAATAAAGTTAAATCTGGTTTTGTATAATATTTTATTTAGATTAATGAATCTTTTCCTTGTCTTGCTTGGACCAGTGGCCGAGTCTTCACCAGAGGTGGGAAGGGTTTTCAGGCGAGGGAACGGAGGGTCAGAAGCCAATCTTCAGCGTGCGGTGGTCGTCGATAATCGGACGGTCGAGCGTGACGGTGGAGGTGTACGACGATCCGGGGGAGGAGTACAAGATCGAAGGGTGCTTCGCGCAGCGGAACTGCACGATCTTCAACGCCGCCGCCGGCGAGGAACCGGTGGCGGAGATTCGACGGAAAGTGGATCCCTCCGCGAATGTGGTGCTGGGGAGAGAGGTGTTCTCGCTGTTGTTGAAGCCGGGGTTTGATGGGGCCTTCGCCATGGGGCTCGTCCTCGTGCTGGACCAGATCCACACCGATGAAGATGATCATTACTTCACCAATAAAGGAGATGATAGGCGAGTCCGTGCGGAGCCCATTTCTGATGATTAGTCTTCAATCTGAGGCACCGGCCCCGACAGAGCATTTGCGAGAATGTAATTCATAATGATTTAATATTGATATACACAAGAAATTTGTTCACTTTTTCGCGGAATGTTGTATGATATAACTCTTAAATATGTGTGAAATGAGTAATGATTTTATAAATTTTGTCAAGGATGTTTGGTATAATATAACTCTTAAATGTGTGTGAAATGAAGAACACCTTTATAAATTTCGTTTCTCACTTGTTGACGTTTTAGAGTTGTCTGTTTGGATGACAGGGTGAAAAGTAAGAGGAAAGAAAACACAAACTAGAAATACCCAAAATGGTCCCTCGACTATAGCTAAATTCACAAATTGGTTTTCAACTTTAAATTTCAACCAATTAAGTCTTTAACTTTGTAATTTTTACACAATTTGGTCCTCTGTCTATTTGACCGTTTGTTGACTGTGATTTTTGAGGATATATATGTAATTTCATGGTCCATCGTCGGTTTTTTAAGGTTCCGGTTGCATTTCCAGACCGCACTGTTACATTTGAATCCACAATCAAAAGCAATCTACCAAACCCGGTCACCTTCTTCATCCTCCCTTTGGATTCAATGTAGTTGAATTCGTATCAGAGCGAAGAAGACGACGTGTTTCGGAACCGGTGCAACGTCATCCTGGAGGCCTCCACGTGCTCCGACGAGAGCTGAAGGTTCTTCTGGAGATCGTCGATCACGGTCAACAAACGGTCAATTAGATGGAGGACCAAATAGTATCAAAATTGCAAACTTAAGGACTTAATTGGGTGAAATTGAAAGTTAAGGACCAATTTGTGAATTTAGCTATAGTCGATGGACCATTTTGGATATTTACTCTATTTTTTTATATGGTTGACTTGTTTGATTACAATTTTTGGATAATTTATATCATGGACTAAACTCACTAAAGTCCTCTGTCCATGGTCCCAGATGGGATATAGACCCACGAAGGCCCAATGCCCAAGAAGAGGGGGAAGGAAAGATAGGCCCAAGAGAGAAAAAGCTCAGAAGACGGGCATGTACATGACAAAGGAGTCGGGCGAGGCCTAGGTCGGCACAAGCTGTTGGTCGACACGAGTAGGGAGTCGACCAAGCGGGTAGCCGTTGGCAATGAAGAGGCCTCTTTAAAGTTTGGTCAAACGAGCCGTTGGAGAAGCCCGGTAACGACAACCCAACGGCCCCAAAGTAATTAATGAGCCTAGTTATAGGCCTTTATATACGCATTTAAATAAAGGATAACCCACTATACAAGGGGCTCTCCGGAGAAGTGTAAAGGGGGAGAAAAACCACAGAGAAAGTGAGAAATAGCAACTTTAGTCATCTCTTTATAGACCACTTAGCTTTGTATTGAAAGGTGAATCCACCAATCACAGTTGTGTTGGAACTCCCTGGACTCAAAAATCCTAAAACCAACATTGGCGTTGTTTGTGGGGACATGACAAAAAGTTACGTTCGCTTCCCTAATCGAGAAAGGAGTCGAGAGATAGGACAGAAAGCCAAGCCACCATGGGCAAAGGCCTGAAACTATGGTTGAGGATCGAAGTCACGCCTCAGATCACCACAACGCACCAAGGGCAGACCTGCGATATCAGTTGAACCAACGAAACTCACAAAGTCAGGGTGGTGACTCGACACCATAACTAAATCTTCAAACCCAACCAACAACACCCACGCATTTTCATTGAACCCACGAATTAATTGCATAATTAAACTTAATATTATACACTTAATATGATTGAATGCATATATAAAATAATCCAAAGAGTATGAACCAACTAAAAAATAAAAATTTACACTAAATATTTATTTATTCATAATTAACCAAATATGGGCAATAAGAAATAAAATCATAATTCAAAGAACTAGCCTGTATGAGCAGTTCAATTGGTCATAGAGATAAAAGTTGAAATGATTGATTAGGGATGGAGTCTCACCACTGTGCAAAGGTCTAACCTTACCTTTATCCATATAAATCCTCCAACAAATCAATATAGTATATATATTGTGAATGTTTGAAAATTCAAACAAACAATTGCCCCTTTTTACTGGAAGTTGCTCTGAAAACCTTTACAATTACAGATATGTCAACCAAAACAAACAACTACCCCTTTTTACTGGAAATTGCTCTGAAAACCTTTGCAATTACAGATATGTCAACCAAAACCAATATAGATGAAGCACAGTTATAGCAATGGAAGCCATGGTTAGCGCCAAGCCAACATGCACCGCAGTTGCAGAAGAATGAGACTGGGTAGACCCGCCCGGTGGCGACGAATTAGAACTGGACGGCCCCCCAGCCGGAGAAGGAGGGTTAGCTCCGGCCGGAGGCCCACCGTTGCCGCCTGAAGCTGTTACGGCCAGTTTCTGTCCGAGCTTACAGTGGGTTCCGAAGGTGCAAATGTAGTAGTGGTCGCCGGTGGAGTTGAGAGTGACGTGCGCGGGTCCGTCGGTTAAGGAAGTTCCGATGGCGTTGTCGGTGGTGCACGCGTCGAATGAGTCCTTTGCTACTTCCAGTACGTCGTGTCTGCCGGTGATAAAGTTGAACACTAGGAATACGCAAAAATTAAACAAACGCATGCATTAAATTGACGGAGAATTCGATAATTTTTTTCGTCCAGTTGGACAAAATAGCAAACAATTCAGCTTCTTCGTCCAAGTGGACAAAGAAGCTAGACATGCTTCCCTCCAATTGGACGGAAAACCCAATCGGCGGCTTCTCCGTCCAATTGGACGAAGAAGTCAGGTCGACTTCTTGGTCCGGTTAGACGCAAAAATGAGATTTTTTTTATTTAATTTTATTTGAATTAAAAATTAAAAATATGATTTTTAAAATAATAATTAATCTTTTGAATTAAAAAATATTTTATTACCAGTTACTTAGGTACTGGTTAATCAATCTAATTCCATAAAAATAGGAGTTAAAGAAGGTTGCTTAAAAAGAACTAAATAATCATGTGTCAACGCCATCTCCACTAGGGCTTAAACTCACAACCTCTTATATAAGAGTGTAACCTTAGTGCCATTCAACTAACTAGGCAAATTGTTGTGTACCATGAATATCATATACATTTTTAATATACTAAAAGTAAATTATTTTTGTACTGAAGGTACATTATTTTTGTACTGAAAGTACATTAAATAAAATAATATACCCTTAGTATATTAAAAATGTATTTTTTAAAAATGTACCTTTAGTATATTAAAAATATACATTTTATTTATGGTCCACACAGTTGTGTGGACCATGGTCCATGCAATAATTATTGATTAGACTAGGGGTGGAAATATGCCGAGCTTTAGAAAATTAGGCATGAGCCTGTTACAAAAACTTGAAGCCTTTTTTAAAAGCCTGTTTAATGTTTAGGCCATTAAAAGCCTTTAAAGTAAGTCATACTTTTTTTGTTACAAGGGAAGGGGGACTCCAATCCACGTGCAATTCTGAATATATAGTTATGAAGTTATTATGGATATATAGTTATGAAGTTATAGATATATAGTTATGAAGTTGTAGATATATAGTTATGGAGTTATTGATATATAGTTATAAAATTATGGATATATAGTTATGAAATTATAGATATAGTTATCTGTGAACAATCACTTTAAGAATTCTGAATATGGAGTTATGTAATTATAAATGTCTAGTTGTGAGATTATAAATATATGGATATGAAATTATAAATATGTAGTTATTAACTTATCATTTCTGAATGTGCTGTTGTCAAATTATGAATATATAGTTATGTAATTCGATCTGGATATATAGTTATGAATTTATGGATATATCCTACTGTTTGAATATGAAAGGAAACCGTCCAACGCCGTTAACTACAATTCGAACGGGAATTTTTTTTAATGAAACGACATCGTTTTGCAACCGTGTGCACCATGCACACGGTTGCACAGCATAACGATTGCCCACTTAGGGGAGCAACCAGATACCATTGGACCACAAGGTCCATGGTAAAGTAAGGCATACTTTGAACCTATTTAAAGCCTACATATTAAAACTTTTTAAAAAATTTAATAAGTCTATCTAAATGCTTTCAAAAAAACAAATATCTAAATAATTTAAGAAACATACGTAATACAAAACTGATAAATAAGTATATCACCACAATGCAAACATAATAGCATTAAAATATAAAATAAAATAAAACAAGTATCGACTTTAGCATGCTCGTTAACTTATTTAGAGATAAATTCAATTGTATTATTGTTTGTTATCCTATATAATCTCATAAATAATTTACAATCAACTCACATAATTAAGTTGCAACATTTGATTAAATATTATGATAGTAAGAACAATTATTAAATAAAAAAATTAAATAATAAGAACAGTTATAGCAGAATCAGCAACAATACTTATTGTTCAATCATAATTTAATTCGAAAGGGATTTTGGAGGAAGAGGGTTAAAGTTTGGTAATTATATATACTTGGGGTTATATTGTAAATATAAAAATATATTAGGTATATATATATATATATATATATATATATATATATATATATATATATATATATATATATATATATATATAGAATCCAGTGAAACCCCCCTATCCAGGTGAGATCGTGAAGCCACATCCTGTGCGTTTATTTTTATTTTTCAATGGTTTAGATTGATTTCACTTGGATCACACATGCTACTGATTTTAGATGAAGCCAGGGGTATTTTTGTTCTTAATCACTCTATTTATTACTTTCCATTTCATTTATTTCCATGTTTATAAAAATTTCTATCGTTATTTTTTTGCCTCAATCAATTTTTAATATTTCTTTCTCTCTCTTACTATCACCAGCATAACGCACTTATTGTCACTCGTGTGAGCACACGCGCATATAGTTGTGAAATATAACCTACTTAGCAAATACCTATGTGCTCATTACTATGCATCAACCTACTTCATTACGTGCACACATCAGTTTAATGCACACGTCTTTATTACTATTTTATTTTAAAATACAATCTTACAGCGGTGTGTGCATTGTTCTAGTATGGTGTGTGTGTTAATTCTTGTTGATTTTTTTTTTTTTATGTATATATAAACCATGATGTTTTTTTGCACACACCAATGTTAAAAAAAAAAAAATAAAATAAAACTGACATGATGCTAAGTTCCTTTGCCAAAAATTTACAAACGCAAAACCATACAAATGCACACACCACCGTAAAAATAAAACAAAAAAAAAAACAAACAAACAAAAAAAAAAACAAACAAAAAAAAAACAAAAAAAAAAAAAACAAAATGACATGATGCAAAGTTCCATTGCCACAAATTTGCACACGCCATATAACAAAAATGCATACTCCATCGTAAAAAAAAAAAAACAAAAAAACAAAAACAAAAATAAAAACAAAAACAAAACGAAACAAACACAAAAACGACATGATGCAAAGTTTCAGAAATTTGCACACGCCCTATCACACAAATGCACACACCACTTTTACAAATACAAATCTCATATAACTATTTCTTCTTTAAAATCTCAAAATACAAAAAAAATATAATTAATTATTACTATTGATAGGATCCCTTTTATTAGATAAAGATTCTATTTTAATTATAACTAAAATTAAACACTATAATAGAATTACTCTTACACCCTTCTCATTTAAATCTATCGTTAAATAATTGATATTTGATTTTAAATCCTATCCATCCATTGAAAATTTATTAATGGATGAGATGAGTTCTCATGATCTCATGTATCATAGGAATTGAATAGGATCCGCATATAATATATATATATATAAAGTAAATTAATTATGGTTAGTACAGTTTACCTAAGATGTCTCCAACTTTGAATGTATCGGCGGAAGTCCAATTTGAATACACAGCGGCGCCGCCGGGAGGTACTATCCAACCAATGGTGTCTCCGACGGCATGCACCGTTTGGGCTTCCCCATAATTCAGCACACTTGCCACCGCCAAAGCTCCAAAAACAACAATGAACATAACTTTGTGCATCGCTTTTGTTTTTGTGTAATTTTCCTCTGCTTTAGATTTTTCTTTTTGTAATGCAAGAGTTTGACTTGGAGGTTCGTGCAGGAAATTATAGATGAAGATCTTTATCTTTGTTTCAGAGATCAAGAATATAACTTGATTTGGGGAACCTTACATATATACAATTAATTGATAACAAACAAAAACGGAAAGAAATTAACAAATATATATAATTGTAATTTGTGGCATGATTCATTATTGGGACAGGTCCACCTAATTAAAATGCTGAAAATAAGACTCTGTTTGGTAGAGCTTATAATTAATTTTAAACTACAAATAAGTTATAAACTCTGTTTGGTTAAACATAAAGAGATTAAAATACTAGCTAATTTTGAAATGCTACACAAGTAGCGTTTCAAAATAAGTTATTGGCTTTATAACTTTTTTTTTTTAAATCTTTATTAATTTACAAAAATAACACCATCTATCACTCATTAATCAAAATCGTAATATCATAGTAAATTGTAATGTCCTTTTACATCATCATCTAATTCAACGATTAACTGTACCAAGCACTTTAATTTCAATTAGTTAGCTTATTAGCTATTAGTTTTTAGTTTTCAACTAACTTTTTAGCTAGACGTGCCAAACATAGTCTAAAGCTATTGTAATACGAAGTATAATTTAGGGATAAAGTACAAATAAGCCACTGAACTATTCGGGAAACAACAATTAAGCCATCGAACTCAAATAACTCCCAAATAAACCATTGAACCTGGAAAAAAAAAAAAAAAGAAGAAAATATGTCATTGAACTCATGAAAAAAGAGCAATTAACATTTTTAAGAGGTTAACTTCAGAATTTTGTTGATTGGATTGCCAAATGTTTATTTTATTTATGTTTCTTTTATTATAATCCACTTACATAGTAATATACTTTAAAGTAATTATAATTAAAATAGTTTTGTTTTGTCGAGATTTGATTTATTTATTATTATTTTTTCACTGGATCATCTATTTAAAAAATAATAATAAATAAATAAATTAGATCTAAATGAGACAAACCTATTTTGATTATAATTACTTTAAAATATATAACTATGTATGTAGATTTTAATAAATAAAAAATGTAAATAAAATAAACATTTGACAATTCATTCAGCAAAATCGTTAACTTGTTAAAAATGTTAATTGCTCTTTTTTCGGATTCAATAACTTATTTGGGGGTTATTTAAGTTTGGTGGCTTAATTATTGTTTTCTAAATAGTTCAGTGGCTTATTTGTACTTTATCCCTATAATAATAATTACTTACGGTTATTATTTTATTAACATATACAGAGTATTATTTTAATGAAAAACACTCTTTATTTTCATAACCTTGAGATGCAATTTTCGATTGGGAAGGAGCAATTGAGAAGAGAGAATTGAAGCTTCGGTTTCTGTGTAATTTGTATTTTGTTTTCGACTATTTCATGTATTTTGTTCTTTTTTTCTGATTATTAAAAAAATATTCTCCGACAAAAAAATAAAAATAAAAATAAAAATTTATATTGGGAGTGGGTGAGGGGGGAGGGGTTTGAGGGAGACAGGGGACAGCGGTGGAGGGGTGACTAGAATAAGGATCTTTCAGTGATAAAAAAAAAATATCATTATATTTTTCTCTAGCTTTAGAGTTCTTGATTATTCTCAAACCAGTTAGAATATAAGGTTCTCAGTTTTTACATAGGCTGCAATTCTCATTTGATTTTATATCGTAGTTAACCTATTCTATATCACACTTAACATAGCTTTTATAGTGATTACTTTATATTTAACCATCGTAATTTGCATAATAATCGGTATATTTCCTGATTGGACAATATTGATCATTAAGTTTTCAATTACTTTTACATTTGCGATTCAAACGGCCATGAATAAAAGAAAGGGGAATAGAATTGAAGATGGAATGAATGTTTAGCAGTTAGTTGCTTAGGATGTTTAACTCACGGTACAAATTATGGGATAAACATTTGTACAATCCAAACAGGAATGGAAATAAGAGTGATGAGTTGATTAATTTGCCGCCGCCGGTGATTAAGTCACGACCATAAAAATACAAGTAGTGTTGCCACCACACATATCACATTCACTAATGGCTGATACCATCCTTGGGGTCTCCAGTAGCCCTGCAACACCACAAATTATCAATTAATCATATCACCACCTTAGGGTTAGGGACGGGATTATCCATTCATACTAAGTCACAATGTCACGTCTATAAACTCTTCCAAAAAGTTGAATCTCAACCTAAGGGTCTCCCACATCCCGGCCTGACAGAACGTCAGGAAGGCTGTAAATCATGGTAACTCAACTGAACATGAACCATTGAGACTAGACCTTTACTTGTGAGACTCGATCTCTGGTCATTCTTTCAAACTTTCATCTTTATGACCAGTTGAGCTGCCCATGCGAATAGCATGGGCTAAACTCGATCAACCCAATTGATGTCCAACAAAAACATTTTAAAGAATAGACGAAAGAAAGAGTTGGTTTGACATATGAACTATAGAAAAAAAGAGTAATACCTTTGAAGCAGAAGATGGAACAAGTCCCCTTAATCCAATATTATATGCAATACTCCCATCCTGTTTGAACAATCCAAAGTTTCTCTCAGAAGTCGGCCCGGGCTTCAAATTCTCGTTAAACAAAGCGAAGATATAAGCCTTGACAGGGGTTTTGGGCTTGTAAGGAGTCCCCTTCTTCTTCAGCAGCCTCTTCCGCAGATTATCATTGTAAGTTTTGGCGTTCTTAACGTTAGCGCCGGCTTCATTTTGGTCTCCGTTGGAAGCCCACCCAGTCTCCGACACAATGACCTCCATTCTATGGTACCCCACTTTCTCCAGAGCCACATAGGAAGCATCAACCATGGCGTCAAACATGTTGTCGTAATGCAGCTTAGTCTTGGCGTCGTAGATGCCGGGACTGGACTTGAAGAGCGCGTAGTTGAGATCGATGTGGGACGGGTCGCTCTTGTAGGCGAGGAACGGGTAGGCGTTGATGTAGAAGGGGGAGTGGATTTGGGAGAAGAATTGGAGGAGGGGTTTCATGAAGGGGAGGACGGTTTCCTTGAACGCGCCGGCGGACGGCGGGTAGGTGATGCCGAACACCGCCTCCGAGTGCGGGCTGGAGACCTGGATTGTTTTGGATAGGTTGACCTGTTGGAGAGCGGAGTGGACGTTTTTCACCGCCGGGAGTAGAACCTCCCATTGTTCAACGTTGTCGCCGCCGAGGATCTCGTTTCCGACCGCGATTCCTCGGATTTTGGTGTCTGGGAGGAATGGGGTCACGTTGTCTTTCAGCCATTGGACGGCCCGGTCCTGATTCACGCTTATATCTCGCAGGAATTCATTCCCGAGACCCACTATGATTTCGATTCCGGATCCCTTAAACGCCGTCAACACTGCATGGTCGGCGTCGTAGATTCTGATGTTCTTGATCTTGTTTGCTGTTAGGAGTGTCACAACGCTTTCTGGGGCTGGGATATTGTCCGCTATTCTCCCGTAGTTTACTCCATATGTTCCCGAGAATGCATCCGCTGCAAATTCAAAACATAAAATTAGTCTGGAATAAATTGAAGCATGTGTTCTATCTCAACTAAAAAGTCTAATCTGATAGTCGGATTGCATATTAATGGCTCAACAAAAACATAGGATTAGTCTGGGTAAGTTGGAAAACGATTCAAAATCACGCCAAAAATGGAAGCTAAGCTAGAAACCAAGAATAAATGCAGCCTACCATTAGAGAAGGAAACAGTGATGAGGAAGAAGAAAGTTATCCAGAGGAATAAAGATGATGATGAAGACATATTGTATTATAATCTTGAAAGGGTAAAGATTGAACGCAACAGATTTGGAAAGGTTAGTTAATTGCGGTGTTAACAACAGTATTAATAATTGCACGAGTGTTCCATTATTAGAAACTGGTGGGGTGGAATTCTTCATCGTGGGGAGTTCCATGAAGAAGAACAGAGAAAAGATTCCAAACCTTTGTCCAGAAAGGAAGGTAAAACAACGAACTTTGGTTTCCTCAAGACACAAAAATGTTTGGGGCAGACGTTTTGGATTAGATTCCAACCTTTTCAAGGTGACATTCTTTAGATTAACTAAAAAGTAAACCTTTTTTCAATGTTTTGTCTCGATCGCAAACCTTTTCAATGTTGCGTCTCCATCTCTCATCATTCTGAAATCTCCATGGAATATTTCCTGGATTCCTGCTATGATTTTCCAGAAAGGAGAAGTTGTTGAGGATTGAAATGTTAAATGCTTGCTTTCAATACACTCCAATTAGATTCCCAATTCCCAAAGCCAATTCTGCAATGAAATTCTCTTATCCCCATGGCCTCTACACCCCAACCCGACAGAATAGTGAAAGGATAAATCACAATAACTAAACGATCCAAGAGAATGCACCTAATTCATGTGCAAATATTGCAAGTCAATATATATACCACAATCTCGAATATTTAGAACCCCTATCAAGAAGTAAATCACAATCACGAATCATCCCGTCAGTCTCCAAGTTCCTACCCTTACGTGTATGATGTATGTATACTCTATGCACAGAGACTGATCTGTGACAAGACTTTAAGATAACCGGTCAAATCAACGGAACAAAGCCAATTCTTGAACACAAACATGCACAAGTATTGCAAGTCAGTATATCTACTACAAACACATAAGTTCACATAGCTGGCTATGGCAGAAACATAGAAAGTCCTATAAAGGTAATATCCTAACAAGTAACAACGAAGCCTACCACTGATAGTCTCATTAATATTACAGTAATCAAAAGGATTATAAAGGATGAACAATACAATGCAGATGAGACTGGACACAATCTAGATAAACATGTTGTGTTTAGCAGCTAATTGGTGCAGGAGAGGGATGGTGTGGGGTATTCGCGAACCCCTGGACCAACCCATTCCTACTATTTCCGGCCTTCTCTTCCTGCAACTTCAATTCGCTATCGTTTTCCTGGATTTCCTTCGTTTCATCTTCCACTGCAGCAGAACTCTCCTTCTCTGGGGCTTCTCCAGATCCCAGTTTCCCTTCAGCTTTACCTTCTGCACTTGAAACTTGTTCAGTCTTATTTGCCTCCCAGGATGTCCCGTCGTTTCCATCCTTGGAGCCATCCAAGGTATTCCCATCTTTAGTACTAGCGTTTCCCCCAACCTCGACCTCAACCTCTGATGCATTTTCCTTTTCAGCGCCATCTTGCAGATTATTATCTTCAGTTTCACCTTGAATCTGTGTGGTTATATTTCCTTTCTCCACACCCTCATGTTCAGTGGATTCAACATTTGGAGTTTCGACTTCTTTCACACCCTCTTCGTTCGAAGCTGCCAGATCTTTCATCTCCACGCTCTCAGTTTCACCGGTTTCCTGCTGGCTATCCTTTCTTCCAGATGACATTCTACGTCGTTTCTTGGGCATCTCGGTCTCTGAAGGGGAGGGATTGGCCTTGACCTTTCCACTGATCCTTGCAGATCTTCTTGGAGTATCACCAGTACCCCAATCAAAGCTGGATGGTGCAGGATTACCAGGGTGTGATTTCAGATACTGGCTTAACTGTCTCTTGCTAGTGATCTCTTCCCCAGTGGGAGCAATAAACACAACCTTGCCTCCACTATGCATTAACTGCACATAAACACACAAGAAAAGGATTGCTGAACAAGCTTTTATATGATTCCATATTTGTTTATACATTGGCCTGTTTGGTAAAATATTTAGCTTTTCAGCCAATTTTAGTTTCTTTGACCTGTTTGATTTGGTTAAAAACCAATATAAGTGTTTGGTTAATTAGCTTTTTGTAACTCCAAAATGCTAAAATTCAAAAAGCTGCTCAAAACAACTTTTTCAATTAGCTTCTTGAGAAAAAGAAATTATACCAAACAACTATCAGCTAAATTTATCAAATACATATCTACAATCAGCTAACGTTATCAACTAGTTATACCCTTTAATTGACCCAATCAGCTAACAGCTATCCGTCATTCACCAATCCGGGCCAATTAATCTTAAAGACTCCGAGCAAATCTGGAGTCACCCGTCAATCTCTAGGTTCCACCCCTTGCCTGTACACTCTAGGCGATTCCACTTTATTTACCATTTGAAGACAAAACACTATTGCCATTTGCTACAACTCAAGTGCTAAGTTGAAACATTCTCCATTGGCTAATATCCCATTGACACCCTACTCCATAGGTTCAGAAAACTATTTTCTTTCTTTCTAAATCTGGGTAGGACCAAACAACATGTGAGTATGTGACTTTCTATTCTAAAATCATTGGCTAAAAAGTCTTTGACTGGAACTTGTTTTCATAAACACCCCAAACCAAAGCAGGCAAAGCCAAGCTCAGTACTCAGTACCCTTTCTCATATCTGCACCAGATTCAGCAAATAGCCAAGAAACCAAAGGAGCCCATTTCCACCAACAAATTAAAGTATATCTCCAAAAATCTTGGGGGGGTTTACCCAAAACAGAAAAATGATAGATTACCCAAACTTTCTTTCATTAAAAAGGCATGATTAAACTCAGTTGTAAGTAGAAAAGCATAATAAAAATAAGATTTTTACCAATTTCTTCCAAGAAGGAGGTGCAGGAAGCTCCACAGAGAGAACTCCATCTGTTCCTTGAGTCAGGTTTTGAGCCATCTTTTCTTCAGAATTCGCCATTTTCGTCTCCCCAATCAAAGAAAAACGCAGGACTAGCTACCAGCTCTGTTCCTCTCTCTCTCTCTCTCTCTAAATGCTAGAAACTAGAAAGCTCTACTCACATACGTGCCACTGGTCCATTTCTTGCCGTCCTTTTACTTGTCCCTTTTCTAGGCTACACGACAGTGACTAAACCAGACTGGTGCCCTTACCCTAAAGAATAATAAATTTCACTTTTTTTTAATCTTCAACGCTGTTTTTCTTAAACAGGAATATTAAGATAAAAATTTTGTAGGGAAATGTGACATAAAACGTGGAGAATAAGGTTATCCAGTTTATTGGATAAAGACGAGAGATCGGAGCGCGTGAAAGAAGCCAAGTGTCGAGCCGTGATGAAGGATATTAAAAGGCGATCCTCGTGGAGCGCGCGAGTCGGCGTCATTCAGAAGATCTTGAAGGCGCCGCCTCTTTCACGCGTGTCGTGTCATTACAAGATTGAGTGAGGAGAGTTGAAGAGGACAATATCTTTGGATTTCAAACTGTTATTCACTGGATTAGAATGGCTTTCAGGTCCGATCAGGGCTTCGAACGTGCTAGAATTTCTATGCGGGATCACCGGTTTCACGTGATAAGATTTGAAGTTGGATTATTTGCATTTACCCAAAAATAAAAAATAAAATAATTTGAACTTGAAACTTGGAAGGAGTGGGAAATGGGCCGGACCGATCTGCCCAGTCCAATGCAACACTTACTGGATCGTATCGACCCAACTCGTATATCATTAAATTTCTGGATAATTGAATAAAGTTTTTAATGAGTAAATATCCAAAATGGTCATCGACTATAGTCAAATAGATGGAGGATCAAATTGTGTCAAAATTGCAAAGTTAAGGACTTAATTGGTTGAAATTGAAAGTCGAGAATCAATTTGTGAATTTAGCTATAATCGAGGGACTATTTTAGGTATTTACTCGTTTTTAATTAATAAACCAAAAAATAATTAAATTTCTTAAGTAGCACGCCATATAGAATTGCAATAATCCACCCATTGCAACGATTCAAACAGCCTTATATAAGAAGTATGGGTCGTTATGCTGCATCCGTATGCACCATGCATGGTGCATACGGATGCAAAAACGACGTCGTTTTATTAAAAACGCGCATTCTATTTAAAAAAAAAAATATTCAATTTCGATTCCCCTGTTGTTCATAGATTTTGGAATTTTAGTTTATTGATTATGAATATTTAGACGTGAAATCGAAATTGATTTTATTTTTTCATTCATGTTGGATATTTAGTTTATTCATTGTGGATATTTAGTTCATTCATTATGGAATTTTTAGTTCATTCATTATGGAATTTTAGTTCATTATTTATTCTGGATATATAGTTCAAATTATGCATAATATAATATCGTTGCTGGGAATTGAAATTTAATTTTTGTTTTTAAGTGAGACACGCGTTTTTAATAAAACGACATCGTTTTTGCATTCGTATACACCGTACATGGTGTATTCGGATGCACAGCATAATTTGCCAAGAACTATAAGACAAAAGATGAGATACAGAATCTCATATAACTTGGAAACTGGGAAAAAAAATTTCAATATTGTGATTATGGTTGGCAAATTTAGCGGAAAATGTATAGCTAAAAGTTTAAAAAGAATTGAAAGCTGAAAAATTATAAGTTAAGAGTTGAAAAATGAATAGTTATTAAGCTAGCTGTTATGCTTGAAAGTGTTTGGTAAAATTAGCTGTAAAATTTAAATTAGTTTCTTTATGTATTAAAATTTAACATTTTGTCTTAAAAAAAATTAACATTTTAAAATGAAATTATTAGCATAATCATGATCTAGCATCTCATGATGGAGTAACAATATTGTTGCAAATTTCCTTCATTTAATAATAATAATAATAATAATAATAATAATAATAATAATAATAATGATGGTTTTAGGGTTTTCGGGCCCAAGGAGGTCCAACACAACCTTTAGCTGGAGGATACACCTTGCAATGGAATGTGTGTCTATTTCGGAGATTATGCTAATACTCAGAACTTTTGGTATTCTCCCCTCTTTTGGGTGTTCAACTGTCCCCCCTTTTACAAGAATGGAGGAGCCTTTATATAGTGGCTCCTCCTCTACCGACTTGAAGGCCTTTAATGGCCGACTTCAAGGCTAATTAAGATACGGAGCCGTTGGACGTCATTACTCGGTCGACCAACGGCTCTCCCAGGCTTGTAACGGCCTGACCGAGTCCGGCTTTCAATGTCTTAACTGCTCCCTTTTAAACGAATCTCTTCAATGCTCTCAACGGCTCCTTGAGCCGAGTCCTTTCCTGGGCTTGGGCCTCGGTCGACTCCTTGTCTCGGCCTAAGCTCCTACTGGACTCCTCTTAGCAAATCTGAACTGGGCCCTGTGCTTGGGCCTGGGCCGACTCCCGGACTCGGCCCAATTGCTCTTCGGGCTCCTCTCGACGCTGGCCCAGTTCTCCTATCTATTTTCTTTGGGCCCCTATCTCTTGGGCCGGGGTCCTTACCCCATCAAATAATAATAATAATAATAATTGTGGTGAAGATTGCGAATAAAGGAAAAGAAAAAAAAAGTTTTAATTGGGAATGGTAAATGATGTCATTTCTTTAAAATATTAAGGTGATGAAAAAATTTGAAAAATTACTAGTTTATTTTGAAATGCTAGTGTTCCAAAATTTTAAAATACGAACTTATTTTGTGAACATGACTAAACAGAGCTTATAGTTTATTAGTAGCTTAAAATAAATTAAAAATTCTTAAATAAGTTCGGCCAAACAGACTCTGTGTTAGCAATGCCGAAAAAGTCAAGGAGTCAACATGTAAGTTTTACTACAATTACTTAAAATGCCTGTGCATGATTATGTAACACATTAGTTAGTTTAGATATGAAAATTGAAGTCACGTAATTTTCTACATAATAATAAAGGTAGGATTTAGATCGAATTTGGTAGAGTAATATAAAGTTTATTACTAGCTGCATGCTTATTTAATTATTTTATCTCCCAGGGACACATCACATACATACATACATATATAAAATTAAACAACAGATTCAAATTCACATCACTTGAATTTCCTTGACATTTTTCTTTGGCTGCTCAGTTCTGGGAATGGTAATAGTGAGAACGCCATTTTTCATCTCAGCTTTGATCTCATCAGCCTTGGCGTCATCAGGGAGCATCAGGCTTGCGTCATAGAATCCATACCTTCTTGAAGACCACACCTCATCGTCATCGTCTCCGCCTTCCTCCTCTTCCTTGTGTTCTCCCTTTATCGTCAGATACCCATCTTCTACCGTGATTTTCAGGTCCTCTTTCCTCAGCCCTGGAACATCGTACCGGATTTTGTACCACTTGTCGTCCTCCTTGTACCTACCCATCAGTTGTGTCGGGTTGATGAGGCTCAGCTTGTCGAACAGCCTGTTCATATTCTCTGTCGCTTGAAACAGCGCATTTCCAAATCCTGAGGGGAAAAAATCTGGAATCAACAATAGTTTTAATCAATCTGAATTGTAATATAATATACAAACATAAATGTACAATCCAACTATCAGTTTAGACTATTTATAGAAGAGTTTTACCCCAAAGAGCAGGAGTAAAATCGCGATCGTTACGCGTCCAGAGACCACCGCGGCGGCGTCTTCTGGGGAAGAGCTTGGACTTCTTGCCGGAATCGGAAACGGCTACTTCTCGGGGGGCATCAGACTTTGCGGCGGCGGCACCCTCTGCGGTGGAGAGACGCCTTAGAAGTTGAGAACCCCATTTGGTATTCTCGGGAACAGATGGAGAGAGTAAATGAGAAGATTTAGAGGCAAACTTCTCCTGTAAATTCTTCAAAACTAGACGACCCAATGCCATTTCTCAGCTCACAGAGTCACAGAACAGTATGTACAGTACAGTTCTTTCAAATCTTGTTTTGTGTGTTTTTCTTCTTTAATAATGATGAATGGGGAGAATCAGGAGGAGATATATATATATATATATATATAAAAGCATACAATTATTGATTTTGGTGAGTAAGAAGTTTCTTGCAGCTTCCTAGCTAGCATGTTAAAAGATGCTGCCTTTATGAGAGAGTGTTCCGGAGGGCAGTAGAAGATGTCCATCTACACTTTTAACTGTTCAAATTTTGGTGGAGAAAGTAAATCCAACTGTATATTCACCTCAATTACCTACAATTTTTTTTTTTTGAAGTATTTGTCTACACATTTTTTAAAGTGTTTTTACTATCGTAATAAGTTTTTTTTTTTTTAATAAATTTCTATTGAGTCAATTCCACCAGAGGTCTCCTGTCTTTGTTGACAATTTCAAATTTAGTCCCAGACTAGGGTTTTGCCATTTAACATCCAGACTATTGATTTTTGGATACTTTTAATCTTTTTATGACTTTTTTTTTATTTTTAGTAAGAGTATTTTTATCTTTTTATATATTTTTTTGTTTTTTTTTTTTTTATTTCAACCAGTTTAATTGGTTTTGAATTTTAGGTAACCTTTGATTTTTAGTAACCATATATTTCAACCGATTTTTAGTAAAGTTTTAAATTAATTAAATCGGTTGAAATCAGAAAAATAACAAAATAAATAAATAAGGAAAAATGTTCAAATAAGCCTACAATTATTGATTTTGGTGGTGAAAATGGTGAAATCCATTGGTTAGCATGGACAAAACGTGCTACCCAAGAAAAATGGAAGATTAGGCTTCAAACAGCTTCATAATTTCAACCTAGCACAAATGGGTAAGTAAGGATGGCGTTTCTGGACAAAACCCGACACTTTGGTTACTCAGGTATTTAAAGCCCACTACTTTTCAAATCGCAAATTATACCATGGAATCGTGTTCACCGAGAATGGTGAACACAAGGTAAAACGATGTCGTTTTTAGGCAAAAAAGAAAAAAGAAAAATCACAGATGTGGAGTTAACGGCGCGCGTTTGATCAAATTATGAATTTTCTGGTATGAGATTATGAAAATTCATAATCTCATACCAGAAAATTCATAATCGCATAACAGAAAATTCATAATCTTACAACTGAAAATTCATAATCTCATAACAGAAAATTCATAATCTTATAACAGAAAATTCATAATCTCATGGTTCCAAAGTGAATGTGTAGGCATGGTTCCAAAGTGAATGTGCAGGCATGGATTCATAATTTATGAATGTCCGTGATTTCGGACAGGAATATGTAGGCATGGTTCCAAAGTGAATGTGCAGGCATAAATTCATAATTTATGAATGTCCGAAATTATGAATGTAATGAAAATTCATAATCTCATAACAGAAAATTCATAATCGCATAACAGAAAATTCATAATCTCATAACTGAAAATTCATAATCTCATAACAGAAAATTCATAATCTTATAACAGAAAATTCATAATCTCATGGTTCCAAAGTGAATGTGTAGGCATGGTTCCAAAGTGAATGTGCAGGCATGGATTCATAATTTATGAATGTCCGTGATTTCGGACGGGAATGTGTAGGCATGGTTCCAAAGTGAATGTGCAGGCATGAATTCATAATTTATGAATGTTCGAAATCTTTGTTCACCTCAAATTAAAGTGAAACCGCAAAATGTGAAAATAAAGAAGAAAAGTCACACAATTAATTAAGAAAAAAAAAATAACGGTGTACTAACACTGTTAGAACCGTGTTCACCATGAATAGTGAACACTATTCCATGGCATAACGTCTGTTTTCAAATAGATCATTACATAATGTAACCTTAAGCTCTAATCCAAGCTATGTAAGGATGAGTATTCTAGCGACCAGGGACTTAGAAATGATAACAAACGCAAAATTTAAGATGCCTTCCTTTTATTCTTCTAGGCTGAACCCCAACCCTAAGGGCCCACCACACTCCGATCCACAGAACATTTGGGAGCATGTAAATCATGGTAAATCAATTGAACATGAACCACAAAGGGACGCGCATCAACCTTCTTATTAAAAAGGCGATGTCGTCAAGTAATGATTATCAGAGGTGAGGGAAGATTAATTCTATAAAAATAAAATAAAATGAAAGCAAAAACATACCACATAAGCAATAATATGTCAATATGTCATGTCATTATTTTATTTACCAATAACCCGGTGGTTACAAGTAAAAATAATTTAAATGCAAAGTTTTATATAGTTCAAATGTTTAATTAGAATATTTTAAAATTTAAGAGTTTAATTTTTTTTTTTTCTCAATAATCGGATAACCCATCTAACTATTTTTCCTTATAAATATTAAAAAGGAGCAAGCACAACAGATATTTGAATAACCCAGCCCAATGAGGAGAGCTTCCATGAGGCTCGGCCTGTACAGCTTAGCCCAGCCCATTTAAGTTCAACTCACATGGCATCAACCCAAGCGCAGACCTGGCGCGTAAGGCTACAATCTAACGGGTCATTATATTGTGGTGCACCGCGGTCAAAACAGTGTCGTTTCTTTAGTAAAGAAACGACGTGCCGTTACTGTTAACGGAACACGCATTTTTTCGTGTGTTAATTACCAACCGAAACTACAGTGTTACTTTTTGCAGAACAGCACGGTACGGCGCAAAATAAGTACCGTTTATTTTCGTTAAACAAAACGATGTCGGTTTGAAACTCGATGCATAATCGATTATGCACCGCGGTACACTATATAATTTGTCCAATTTAACATGACCTGTGTATGGACAAAACATTAGCAGTATTTGTATTTGACCGCCGTTTTAGACCAGTATTTCAGGCTATACTTTGGGCCTAGCCCCTTGAGTAACTTCGGTCCTATACTTCTATATCCAATTTATGGTAAAATCAGTCCCAACAAAACCATCATCATTATTGGTACCTAAATGTGGTTATTTTCCTTTTTAGGTTTCTTTTGTTGGTAACAGAAAGCAAAGCAGAGAGCCAGAGAAGTTGAATGATGTTTAGAAGTCTTACAAATTTTTGGTTTTACTCTTTTGTTTGGTGACAAGAGACGAAACTCGCAATTCAACCCATATTGTAAATTATATTTTATGATTTTAGTTGGCAAAAGACCTCAAGGAGGTAAAATAGTTTAAGTTGTCTATAACCAACGTGTTCAAATTAAGAAAGTCAAAAGATCATTCTTCCTGAGCGTCAAATTTGAAACATTGTGGTTACTAAGTCAACAATTCGACTAAATTAACTAGAATTATCAACAACTTAGATATATAGAAAAACTTTTTGTAATGAATTCGGTCATAAACTCAACTAAGAGTGTTAGTAATACTCTCTTAATTTTGATTATTTCCACGGGCAAATAAACTCTCTTCCCGGAAGAGAATTTCGAGATAACTCGTGGATCTAAACCGTTAAACGGACGGAGGAAGAGTTGGACCATCTGGTCATTTACACGAAAAAATCAGTTTCCAAACAGTATTTAGTTATGTTGTGTAGCAAAAGATAAAAACAAAAACAGTTTACATAGGGAATTGAAAAGCAGAGAACAGTGAGCGCCAGGAACACACTGTACAATACTAAATTAAATTAAAGGCTCCCCCGTCTTCTCTAGTCAATTCCTCCTTTTGGCCTCATATACAAAATCTACACGAACAAAACAACGCAGCAGATTCAGATTTCTTCTGATCAATGATCGATTGATTGAATTAGTCCGGCGGATCGGATACACAATTTGTAGATGATCTGATCAGTATGAGTATTCCATCCGCTGCACCCGATCTTTGAGCACTCCGGCGTACAGCGCCACCCGATTTTCCGGCATTCCCTTGTTTCCGAGACAACGCCGCCGCTGATTATTCCCCAATTCGAATTGTCTCCTGTACTCCTCGCCATTCCCGATTGTGTCCTTCACGTCCTCTGCAAACTGAACTCTCTTCTTCTTCTTCGATTTCGATTTCGATTTCTTCTCGCTCTCCTTGTTCCTATCGCCTCCTATTTAATTTCACACCCATCACAATACTTCAATTATATGCAAGCAAACCCTAACATTCGGAGAAGATCAGATCAGAGAAACAAGTACCTGAAGAAGACGTTAAACAAGACCTGAGAATCCGGTGTTTCTCTGCCAAGGATTCTTGATTCTGGGGAAAGTACTTGTCCCGGAGAAGATCAAGGATAATTATGGTTCCCGCAGAGACGGCCATGGCTGTAGCCAAAACCAAACCTTGAGAGCTCAACATTCTTAAAATTCTTAATTGTGTACAGGGAAGGGAAGCTGTAGTCTGTAGACTTGAGTTTGAAGTTTGAAGAAGAAATCTATGCTACCTAAAATAGCGATTAGTGGGTGGTTGGGTGATAAACAAATACTAAAATACTCGTATGATGAGTGAATCTGGAAATTTCTGGGGTTCTGTTTCGGTTTTCTTTTGCTCTGTGACTTTCTGGAATGGAAGTGTGTGTGTTATTGCGCTGCCAAGAAAGACACTCACGGGGACTGCTCATTGGCTTTAGATTTATATAAAATTCAGGGGTGGGGGGCTGGAATACATACCACAACGTTCAAAATTAGACTACCAGTCAAACTAAAATTTGACTTTTATTCTAGAAAAAACTAACACACACTAATATTGTGATTATATTAGTATTTTTTTACCTATACTAATTGACATGAGCTAATAATCTCATATTTCATTTTTTACTTACCATCTGACACACATCAATATTATGAGTATATTAGCATTCCTTATTTACCCTTTAGTATTTCCTGCTTACACACCAATACTGTGATTATATTAGCATTCCCTACTTACCAAGTGGCACACACCCATTAGCATTTCATGCTTACCAACTGGCACACACCAATATTGTGATTACATTAGCATTCTCTATTTACCAATTGGCACGCACCCATCAACGTTCCTTGCTTACCAATTGGCATACACCAATATAGTGATTACTTTTACATTCCTTATTTACCACCTGACAAAAATTAATAATATTGTGATTACATTAGCATTCCCTACTTACCAACTGACACACACCCATTAGCATTCCATGTTTACGAACTAGAACCCACCCATTAGCGTTCCTGCTTACCAAATAGCACACACCAATATTCGTTTTTAGAGGGAACAATGGCTTCTAGAAAGGATGAGAGCAAAAACGTGAATTGAATGGAAAGAGATAGAAGCGATGAGGTATCGAGCGGTAGACGAATTGGAGGCGTGGAGGTTTGGTTTTCTAGTAAGAGCGGTTACCGGCGGGCGAAGTCTACATGTGAGGAGGCCAGGGCACATACCAATTGTCTGCCATGCAACAAAAATAGCCAACAGGCTGACTGGGCCTTCAACCAATCCCCAACTATTACATTACTGATCGAGTTTTGTATACCGTTGAAATAAACTTCTTTAATTGTTTCGTCCTCGTTCAACGATTCTTTGATTCTATCCTTGTACGGCTATCATAGTTTGGTCACACAACTCACTCAACTCTTCTTTTATGGGTATTATTGTTGTGCATGAAAGTGTTGTGCTATCTTCCAAATGTTGGTGAATGTAGCAAAATCTTAATTGATTTTACTTCCCTTTTTGAAAATTTATCTAAATTAAATAAGACGTGTTAAACTTATTCACTTTTATGGACAAAAGTGTAAAAAACAAATTAATTTGCTTTTCATCAATTTCTGAATTTATCATTAAAATTTAAGAAAATTTTACAATATCATAAAGTCATTTTGTCTAATAGAATGAAGCAATATAATGATACTTTTTTGAAGTAAAATAATAATTATTTACAAGAATGTCACTATTTCTTTATTTCTTTTTCTTTAATAGATGATTTTCTTTAAATATTTTTATCGTTATTCACAAAATAAATAAATAAATTTACTTCTTTTTCGCTACAAATGAGTTTTTTTAGTGTTATTTTGTTTGTTTTGCTGAATTTTGCTCACCCTTGAATTGTTAACATTGAAAATGGAGTATGAGACAAAGATGAGACTCCCTATCACTATCAATAAATATGATTTCCTTAAAATTCATTTATTATATGTGGTTACAAAATCCTCTTTCACATTAAATCTCTAGATACTTTCACACATTGTTTTAACCTTATCCAAATACATGCTTGTGACTCACTTTTGAATTCGTAGATGCTTTCACACATCAAATTATCTCCCTAGGTTTAAAGTTTTAATTTAGGTGAAGAAGGTTTGAAGTTTTAATTTGTTTAGGAGTAGGTTTTTGGACATTCCAAAATAGTAAAATTAGGACTAATTCATCTTTTGATTATCTCTTAGTTTCACTTTTACTCTTTAAATTATAAAAAGACCAATATTCATCCCCTAATTATTTAGTATTCATCACTTTTGATCCTTTGTCATAGATTTTAAAAAATCTCAGTTAGAAGTGAGAAGAGACTCATATTTTTTCACAATCAAGCTCTAGTTTACATATTTTGTAGTTGTATAAAATTAAATTAAAGGGAATCATAGTTTAGTTTCATCTTACCAATTTATAGTGATAAAGGTGACGAGACTCTCAGAAGAAAAAAAAAAAGATTTTAAGGATTTGTTTGAAAAACTGGAAAATGACTTTCAGAATTCACTTTCTAAATTTTCCCGTGTTTGAGTATTCAAAAAAAAAAAATCAAAGAAAAATATGCATTCTAATTAACAGAAAAAATGTTTAATTTGATGGAAAATTTCTTCCTATCATATTATTTTCCATCTCTGATTCTACCTCAGCTGTCTTTTAAGTTAGTTTTCAAATTATTATTATTATTACCATCACCACCACTCCAAACAAAAAAAAAAAAAAAAAAAAAACAAAAAAACAAAATTTATTGTCATTTCTTTCAAAAAAAAATAAATTAAACAGAAAAATGCAATTTCTTAACTTTCAGACAAACAGGAAAAAAAAAATAGTTTTATAACCTTCAACCAAACATTAAAAAATTAAAATATTTTCTAAAAAATAATCATTTTTTAAAAATTATTTTCTAAATTTTTAAATGGACCCTAAATTAAGACTTCTTTTTAAGTTTATATAACTACAAAAGGTATAAATTGGAGTTGGATTTTAAGAAATTATGAGTTTATCTTTATTTTTAACAAAATATTTGTCAAAAGTTATAATAAAATACCAAAAGTGATGAAGGTAAAATAATTAGAAGATTAATATTAGTTATTTTTATATTTGTTGACACTAAAATTTTGTTAAGGATAAATATTTTTGAATATTAAAATAGATACTTATTGATACTATTTGTTTAATTAGATAATATCAAAAAAATTGAACAAATCAAAATTCTTCTTATTATACTGCTATAAATACTGCTATAAATAGGAGCTCTCATTCATTCTAGAAATAATCATGTAAACATCCGGAAAATATTATTCAGATATCATAAAAAATAATCCTGAAAGTAAAAATTCCTCCATGATGATCATGTCAATCAACCTCTATTGAAGATCAAGTCATTTGAATCATCTTTCAACTGAGAACAAACATATAAGCTCTCCTCTGAAGATCAAACCACTTGAATTACGAAATCCCTTCAATGGAGTGTTCAAGGCATCAAATTGAAGAATCAGAGGACTATACAAATATCTTGTACTCATACCGCATTGATACTACTTGTTACTAAAATTTTGAATTTTAATATATAATTCAATTTTCTTTGTTCACATCGGGCGTGCCAATTTGTGAACAAAGAAAATTGAATTATATATTAAAATTCAAAATTCTGATTACAAATAGTATCAATGCAAGCGGTGTGGGTAGTACATGGTCTCTGTGCGGTGTGAGTAATACATGGTCTCTGTGTAGTCCTTTGATTCTTCAATTGGATGCCTTAAACACTCACTGAAGGGCCTCCAATGTGTTTATTCTTCATTGAAGGGCCTTCGACGGGATTCAAATGGTTTGATCTTCAATAAAGGATTGCAACAACATAAGGAAGAGTTTTTTCTTTCAGAATCGTTTTATTGTGATTACATACTTCCTAGGATAAATGAGATCTTTTATTTATAGTTAGGATAATAAGAGTTTTGATAAATTCAAACTCTTTTGATATTATCTAATTAAATGAATGAGTGTCTTTATTTTAATTTTTTTAAATAGATAATATTAATATTATTCAAAATATATTATAATATTTTAATATTATCTTTATCAATTTTCAATGTCAATAATATTAAATGACTGAAAGTGAAAATGTAATTAAAGACAAAGGAACCTAAGAGGATAGCTGAAGTGGCAAATGAGTTCTTTTTGTGGGGGAGAATTTTGGGATAATCCGGGTTTAATTTCCACAAGTGATGATTCTCTTTGGGCCAACTTTTGTGTCTCTCGGAGCAAACCGGATGTACCTAGACTGTTAAACGGATAGAGAAAGCCACCCAAAAAAAAAAAATTTAAAGACAAAGGGATGAATAGTAACAATATTGATTTTTGTAGCGTGCTAGACTGCTAGTTATAATTATTGTCGACATGCTCACCCAAAAAAAAAAAAAAATAAATAAAAATTGTCGACACGCGCATTTTTCAATGTTTAACATTTTTGGACATTTTCAATCATTTCCCTCAATTATGGCACAATCGAAACCCGAGATCGAAAATTTTTATATTATATGATACTCCGTATTATATTACATATATATAAAGTATTAAACTATAAACTGTAAAACAATACCAGTTGTTGCAATAAAGAATATAAAAATGTATGTTTTTTTTTTTTTTCTTTCACTTTTAGTCTGTTAAATATGGTTTTTTATTTTTTTTTTCATATTTCACTCGTAATTATTAGTTTTTTTAAAAATAACTTTTAGTGCCTAACTATCAAATTTTACATATAGTAATTTTGATCAATTTTCTGAACAACTTTAATCGAAATCTTTCTTATGATAGTCATGTGAGTTATTTAAATTTAAACTATATGTAGACGACACATTGAAATATAGTAATCTTGAGGTTAACGTAGATAAAAATCATACACCATTTGCCAAAAAAAAAAAATTATTAAAAGTAAAATATTGTAAGAATTTAATAGTCATGTACCAAATAATTAAGTTCCAAATGTTGAAGGGGTACAATAGCCAAAAAACCAAAAGTATTAAAAAAAAACTATAAAATATTTACATTTTACTTGAGCTAAAAGCCTAAAAGTATTATTATTTAAAAATAAAGATTAAAAGTATCTTAAATTGAGAAAAATTGAAATGAAATTTTATCGTTGAAATAATGATTGAATGTATTAATTATTCCATCACAACAAAATGTATGTTTATCTTGAGCTAAAGCAGAAGGTGGGTATAGAAAGAAAATCCAAAGTTGCCACGTTGAATAGAAAAATTTAAAACGACTTATATTTTACAATAATTATTATACTCCATCCAATTGTAACGTAACAACTTGTCTAGTGAGGACCATTTCTTGCCGCCAAACCTCTCAAACTCCATCCACCAATTATTATATTCCCTGAGTATATTGATCCTTTTATAGTGTAGTATAT